TGGAGTATTTAGCAGCAAAGAAGAATTACAAGTTGGTCACTGGCAGGCAAATGGATGTAACTGGAGATCATGTTAATCAAAATAAGCTGTGTATAAATACCAAATTTTCTTTATCCATTCAGCTGATAAACATATATGCTGTTTCCAAGATCTAGCTACTGCAAATTGTGCTGCTATAAACATGGGTATGCATGTATCCCAGTAACATAATTTTAATTATTTCTGGAAGATACCTAGAAGGGGGATAGCTGGGTGAAACTGAATTTCTATTTTTAGTTTTTTGAGAAATCTCTATACTAATTTTCATAGTGACTGTATTGTTTTGCATTCCCACCAACAACATAGAAGAGTTCCTTTCTCCCACATACCTGCCAGCATTATTGATTGATTGATTGATGCTAGTTAGCTATTCCTTTTGGGGTAAGATGGTATCTCAGGGTAGTTTTAATTTGCATTTTTCTGATACCCAGTGATGTTGAACCTTTTTTTATGTATTTACTGGCCATCTGTATTTTTTTAGAAGTTTTTATTCATTTTGGTTGCCCTTTTTTTTTTTTGGTACCAGAGATCAGGTTGCCCATTTTTTGATTGAGTCTTTGGGAGTACTACTCTGCCATAAAGAAAGATAGGCAAATGGATGCAACTTAAGAACATGTTAAGTGAAATAAGTCAGATACATAATGTTAAATATTGCATGGTTTTTCTTATATGAGAACCTAAAATAAATATATATATATAATGTACTATAGAGAAATGGGAGATAGGGAGAAGTTCAAATAATTCCCCAAATTTTCTATTCGGTCACTTCAAAAATATTTCATTATATATGCCAATTTGTTTCATTTATACTAGTTTCTCTTTGTTCACTGAAAAGAAAGTTTTATACTATTATCTGTTTGTTTCTTTTAGTAAGAGTCTTTTGTCTATGACTTGTACTCTGAGTAATATTTTGCCATTGTTTTAAGATTATGGTACACAGGGCTGTGGATTAAACTCAGTGGTGCCACTGCTTGCCTCCCAAGGACAAGGTCCTGAGTTTGATCCCCTGTACCAAAAAAAAAAAAAAGATTATGGTACATAGTGCATTAACTATTGTTTTTCTCTAGTTGTTATGAAAGTTTTATTTTTTCATAAAATATTGCTTTTTTATATTTTTATCAATATCTATATCTATTACATTAAAATAAAAAAGCTGTGCTCAGAGGGACAAATATTGTATGTTTTCCCTAATATGTGGAATCTAAAAAGAAAAAAGCCGAGGATGACTATTATTAGACTAGAGAAAGGATTAAGATGGGGTAGGGGGCATGAGGGAGAATAACAGGGAGACAGATATGATTAAAATGTTATATACATGTATAAAAATACCACATTGAAGCCCTATTTTAGAAAATTAATGGGCTCTACTAAAAATAAATTTTAAAAATTAAATTTGAAGCTGAGAGGCAACCACATAATGTAAATGGCATTTAAACTCAGCCCTTACTCAAAAGCTGGTATTCTTTTTATGTCAACATGTTACCTTCCCAAAGTGAGATGTTAAGAGGTGGCCTAGTCCAGACTTTTATGACACAGGCAAACAAAGAGGGAAGAGGAATAGTTACTGGGACATTTCTTCAGAGGAATTCTTTTGACTGGTCATTACCTGGGATTTTTCTGCACCCTAGAGCTATTAATACTGACGACAGTTTTAGAAGGCAGGAAAGTGGGACTTTTTCTACTACATTTTTGAGGGGAGCTTTCTCCTAGGGATCCATAAGATTCAGGAGAAAAGAGGCTGTTCATTTTCTAGAAGGGGAAACTTGGAAAATTTTGCAGCTTTAGAGATACTGGATGAAATTTTTAGCTGGAGAGGGGGAGCTCATTTCAGATATATTTCCCAGATTTTGTTCTGGGACTCAATCTATAAAACCCTGTGTATCTAAGCAATATTCTGCCCATCCTATCTATCTGATGTGTCATCTATCTGATGTGTCATTTATCTGATGTGCAAGAATAGAAACAATGGTTTGGATCACAAATTTAAAAAGGAACACATACAATCTATTGTTAGCTATTTGCATTTATGGACTATCACTATAAATAACTAAAAGCAGTCTAAACACTTGAAGCTAGTATCCCAATCTCCTTTCTGACAAGCAGATAAAAATGTCCTGAAAACTACCGAAATGGCACTCGGAGGGCAGGCATACCAAGGAAGAGAGTGGCACTCAGAGAACTGAAGGGAAAGGCAGGTTTATTCCCTAGCTAGTGGGCCCAAGTGGAAGTCACCTTCCAGAGTCTGAGCCCTGTTTCTCCGTTTGTTCTCATATTTATCTCTTCTTTAGCCAGGGCAGGGGAGCAAGCAGAATTTTACAGAAGCAGAACTTAGCAAAGGGTAGGGAGGTGGAGGTAAATGTGTTTTTTTACAGTTTATCTTTAAAACATAGGGAGGTAGACAGCTGTGTTTCAGCAGTTTATCTTCTGGGCACAGTGACCTTCATGTGTTTAGCAGGAGAGGGAGGTCTTAGACTTTCAGCCTTGAGACTGTCAGTCTCTGCCCAGCTTTGAGATTGTCAGTCTCTGCTCTGTCTTTTGTTTTTTCCATTTCACTACAAAGCACTCCAGTTACCTCTAACTGTTCTTCTCTGGTGAAACAGACTAAGACTACCAGGTAAAGATCCTTTTCGCCAGAAAGCCCTTCATAAAAGGCTGCTTTAGGAAGGGAAAGAATTCTTCTGAAATGAGCATTTAAGGGCTGGGGATGTAGCTCAGTGGTGCTGCACCTGCAGCTCAGCAGTGCCATGACTGCCTGGTAAGTGCAAGGACCTGAGTTCAATTCCCAGTACCGGGGGGGGGGGAAGCATTTAGTGGATTGCTGCTGATGGTTCCTTAGGGAAGTAGAAGCATAAAGTAGTAATGGGATGCATCTTAAGCTTAGGTGAATCAGGTACAAAAGGCTGATGTCTCCAGATATGAACTGCTTTGTTTTAGAAATAATGCGTTTGTCAGATAAAGATATGAAGGTAGCTCTAGAATACTGGACAAAAAGCAAACACTCCTTAACTTCTTTGTCACCTCACGTTCTAAATTTGAACAAAAAGATACTATGTGGGGAATGGCAGAAATACCCTGAAATTTAGTCTCACTAAGGCACTGGACAACTTCTCTGTCAAGCATCTCAACCATGGTTAAAGATGCTGTGCTGTGATATAAGTAATGAAATAATGCACTAGAAGTCATGGCAATGTTGAGTTTTAGCCTGAACTGTTTCTTGCTCAGATTACTCCTTTCTGAGCTTATTTACTAGTCATAAAATAAGAAGGCTAAAATGAATGTTGGACTAAAGCCCCTTCTAGCTTTTAAAATTCCAGAGCAGGATATATTAACTTTTGTCGGGGGGGGGGATGCTGGCAGACATTCTGCTGCCTAGTGGTCATATTTTAGGGTGTATAGTTAGGGGATCAGGGAAACCCAACTTTAGGAACTGTTTTACTCCAGGGGCCAAATAGCAGCAGCTGTAGCAGATGAAAGGAGGATAAGTGCTCTATGCTTAGAGCTCGACAAAGTGGCTACCTGGCTGTCAGCTACCTGGCTGTCAACTGAGAAAGATTGTGCTTCTCATGTTCTCTCTAGAGACATCCATAGCTGCCTAACTACCAACAAGTTAACAGGAAGTCCTCTTCAAGTAAACCAGGCAAACTGGACCTGAAAGCTGTCAGATTAGAATTGACTGTTGGCCTACTCCAGCAAGGAAAGAAAAATGATGTGATAAGGTATTGATGTTGGTTGGGCCAAATCAAATACTCAGCAGAATACGTGAGTATTTCAACAGTCCTTCTTGCAATTCAATCACTTTCAGAGGCAAGCCTAGCATTCTGATTCTCGGGAAAGGCTTTAATTCTCCCAAGTTACAGAAGATCTCAAGAGCTGAAGACTGTAGAACCATAAGGAAGACAAGAAAAGGTCTTTAAGCAGCCTGTGGTCTTTGTAAAAGAAGAATGTGGAATCTCTGTTAAAGGGCCCAAGACATACTAGGTTTCAGACACTCCTGAACCTTGTACTCCTGAGATAAGAGATTAGAGAAATCAGCTGAAGAGGGGTGAGTAAAATGTGTTGGCAAATGGTGGGAGTCCCAAAGTGAAAGTGGAAGATGTGAAGTGTATGTAGTGAGATCCTGAGCAGAAGCAAATGGTCTTCTCCAAGTAGGGTGGATTTTACCCAAAATATTATCATCTGTATCATAGTTGAGATCTAAAATGGCCTCCAGAGCCTCATGTGTTTCAAAGGTGACTGGATTATAGGGGCACTATAGCTGACTTCCTGTTAGGAGGTGGGGTCTGGTCAGAAGATGGAGGTCACTGGGCATCACCTGGGAAGGTGTTATCTCCCTTCCTGGGTCCCTCCCTTCATTCTCAGCTTCCTGGCTGCCATGAAGTACACAGCTCAGGTCACTTCTGTCGTGCTATTGCTGTATTTAAGCCAGCCAAACGTGGACAGAAACTTCTCTGCTGTTGAGTTAAAATAAGCCTCTCCTCCTTTAAGTTCCAGGTATCAAGTATTTTGTCCCAGCAACCAGGAAATGATAAGATCATCTACTAAATTGTCTTTTTTTTGTACTGGAAATTGAACTTAGGACCTTGCACTTGCCAGGCAGGTGCGGGCACTGCTGAGCTACATCCCCAGCTCTGCTACATTGTTTTGGCACATGACAAATGAAATTAAAATTTGGGTTTAAAATTTGCTTTAAATTCTATGGGCTAGTTTTCAAGCAAAGAGAAAGGTGATGATGACAATCAGTCATTTTGGGACAAATTTGCTAATAACCTATAAAAAGCTCCTGAAAACCTGCTTACTTTATTTATGAGAAGACACAAGAATTTTGTGTTAAAAACACACCCTAAGACAATTAGTTACCATTCATCAAGGAAAGCTTTCATGTTGGTTTTAAAAGTTGGAGGGGCTGGTACAGGTTACCTTCCCCAACTCTGTTTTGGCAGCCCATTCCCTCAGATGTTCTGCTTTCCTTTTTTTAAACTTTTTTTTTTTTTTTTTGAGGTGCTGGGGCTTGAATCTAGGGCTTGTCCATACTAGTGGTTTCCATTTTTGAGACTCATTATTCTCCAGTTTTAGAGGAAAATCTGGCAAGCTGCTCCAAAAAGCAATCCTAAGCAACACAGAAAAGATACAAGATTTGGCTTCCTTTTCCAAAGAAAAAGAACAGTGCTTATTACTGTTCCTGCATTGTCCTTTTATCTCTCACTTAGAATACATCTTGCAAGTGAATAGTGACAACATGAGTGAGACAGCCATCCTAGCCCTCTCAGGAACAGACCTTAAGAGGAAAAGAAAACTGTAGGGATCCTCGGTGGAAGTACTCAATAATGAAGGGAAGACTGAGTTCCTTCTTCATCAATATTCAACTATTTGAACACAAATAGACACAAGCTTTACCAACATTATCAGCCAGGGTGGGGAATAATTGCCAGGTTCACCATTTATGGTCCCTTTTCAAGACTTAGGTACTTTTGGAAGAAAATTAACAGGTAGGTTTTTAGTCCACTTAAATTGATACATAGCCCATAAATTAAATATATGGAATTATCATTGGTGAATAAATACAACAGAGAGTCTATTTCAAAAAATTAGTGGTATTTCTATTAACATTTTAGTATTAACATTAAAATTGGAAGTGCAAGGATTATAAATACAGAAAATACAAAATGTCAATGATTAGCTCGTATTTTTATTGAACAGTGGTTGAGAATGAAATAAGGAAAATTAGTTTTGTGAAACAGCAACTCTCAGAATCACTCTGGTAGCATGGTCTTGCGTAAATGATTTGCCATTAAGCGCCAACATAAGTCAGAGAAAATATTCTCACAACAGTTGGAAATTTAAGCATCACACAAGCATCAGCTTTCTTCTCACTTCAAATATGAAAATAGTAAGTGTATGGAAATTTACTTATCTTGACAAGTTAGAAATAAGCTCTCACCTTCACTTATAGACTAATGCCCCATGTTCCAAATCAATTCTACATCAAATTGCTTGTAAAATGAATCTGCTAGGATCTTTCTTTGTGCCACATAAGTCTGATCACTTGAATATTAACTCAGACTTTAAAATCTTAAATGCAGCACTAACATAGCAGCTCAAATGCTGGGGACAGGAATGGATTATTCTTTTTAACCAGTACAACCTTCCTTGGCTTTTGCCTGATGAGCTCATTTTCTAGTCTAAACATTACTTAACATTTAAAAACCATTATAAAATATATCCTATTCTATTTCAGCTCTTCAAAGGGTGGAGGAGTTTCTCTCAAAGGAAAGCTGGTTGCTTACCAAAGGCATAAGAAAAAGAGGGAGAAATTTGCTCATTCATCTCTGATTCTCCATTGTAACCTAGCACTTTAATGGCAATAAAAAAACTCAATAAATGCTGTCAAGAACTAAATCTGATGGCTCAGGAGTTAGGACTCTGAGTCTTCAAACTTGTCTCTTTTTTTGGTGGTAGTGGTGGTGGTCTCACTTATGTTTGATGAGTAGATGTGTGAGAAAAGAAAATGCTTTTCCTTTTTCCGAAAAGAAATTCTCCCATTTCAACCCAGTATTTCAGTATAACTGGATAACCTCATCCCATTCAGAAATAGGCCAGATTCCATTGGGCTGCACATTGGGTGGAGAGCTCTTCCAATCCCAAGTCTTTATAGGAATCTTCCAGCCCTTACCGTAGTTGGCTTTGATGTATTCAATGGTTTCACATGGCACATGGACCTTCATGTCTACAAACTCAGTCCAGCACAGGGTAAACTTGGGAAATAGATATCTGCAACAAAATAAAAGCAATGTGGGGAGGAGTTAGGCTTAGATAATGGGAGGTCTAGCTAAAGAACCCAGATGCTAATACATTCCTGACTTAAGGACAGCCCTCTACCACTAACAGCTTTGGGGACCGAGAGAATATTTAGTGTTTTTAACTGTGCAGCATCCCTTTCCTCTTCTAATGTTAATATTCTTCCCCTATTTCCATTCTATATGTTTGTGGAGGAGCTAGCCTGTTTTTAAGCTTTAGAGATAGGTGAAAAAAAAACACAAAACCTCAGGTCTGGCCAGTAAGTTACAGTGACTAGTTCAGAGATGGGAACATAACCAAGTTGGGTAAAAAAGGTCAACCCTGGGATTTCTGTTGGAATCACTGGGGGAAGAGGTATCAAAACAAAGTAATCAAAAGATGAAGGAAAATGATTATTTTCCCTTCTTGCACAACCAGGATTGCTTAAGGATACAGAATAAGTATGACTCCAAGATGTACTCCCACCTTCTCCTTTGGTTCCATACCTTATATGATCCTACCTGTATTTTCTGCATTTCTTTTCTCTCAATTATAAAGAACATCTTTAAGCCAGACTAAGTACTATTGGTTATAATGAATTTAACTGTATCTACTGCAGACCTATGTCAATTAGTAGCTAAGTAGGAATTAAACCCAAAATATGTTTCTAAAAAGTATTTTCGATCAAAGTAATTAAATTCAATATATAGGAAAGCTAAAATTAACAGATGTTTGATTTAATCCTTGTAATATTTTTTTTTTCTGAGAAATGTTTCTTTTCTTCACAACACGGGAACAACTGTCAGTAATGAGACCTGCAATGGCAATAGGAGAAACCACAGGAACTTAAAATATCAGAGATCAAAGAAAGAACAAGGAAAAACCAGATTTCAGAGTGACTGTATTGTAGAAATGGGACCTAATAGGAATGTTCTCCACAGAAAGGTCAGTTCTCACATATTCTGCTTTCCAGTATCATGTTTTGCTACCAAATGAACATAAAGCCATATATGAAAGTGAGAGGCTGAACAAATTCTAAAGAAAGCAACAAGTGTCTTCTACAAAAATGAAGGGGTGCTGGCAGTTAATGGCAGTCCCAGCTGGCTTCTGTGGAAAGACAGCCACAGCAAATCTCATAGCTCAGAAAGAAATAAGATACAGCTTAGGCCTACCATCTGCTGGTCCCAATTTTACTCTGCACACTCATAGTCATGGAATTGCTTTTTTTGTCCTCAGACATATCCATCCATCATCAGCCTCCACCCTCCCCAATCAGTTGCTGGTCAGCAGAATGACCACCTGTCTCATCCTGTCAAGTTCACACACTGAAATTGAAATGAAGCAGAAATTATGGTCTATGTGATATAGCAACACAGGCTGGGAAATCCCTTTCTTTTAAATATTAGCCTCTATAGCAGTGATGGTGAACCTATGGCATGTGTGCCACAGTGGGCTGGTTTATATGACTGAAAGCTTTAAAAGGTTCACCATCACTGCTCTATAGTCTCATCAAAGAGCTGAAAGAAAACAAACAAACAAACAAACAGATCTGAATAGACAGGGTAGAAGAAAACACTACGGATTTAGCAAAAGCACTGTTAACCAGTGAAGGACTTATGAGCAAAACCAAAACATTTAAAATACTTTATATAAACTGTGAAAATAATGCAAAGACAATTCAAGTCAAATGTTAATATTTATTCCTGAACAGAAACATCCCTAAACTCTCTGTGGTTTTCTTTTCCACAATTATTTTTCAATTTACTCAGGAAAAAAAAAATCCTAGCTTCCTAGAAAAGAAAAGATAAACTCTAAAATGTGAAAAGTAATTGTAAAGTAGGATTGTGGAGAGGAAAGGGAGGGTTGAGTGACAGAACAAACAGCACATGCCATGTACTCTGTCCAGGTTACCAGCAAATAATGACTAAGATTTAATTATACCATGGGTCTGCAATCTTAACTTGGGTTTAAAGCTATGATTAACCTTGGCTGAGTTGTTCATACTTTAAAGTACAAGCCCTAGAATAGAATCTAAAATGCAAACAAGATTTAAATTTCCACTAAGGCAACTCATCAGGATACAAGTTTAAGGGATCTATCACACACACAAAAAATTTCTTCTGTTTCATACAAATTTTACATCATTTTATTTTTGTATAAAACAGCACTTAGAATTATACAGTTTGGAGTAAAATATTTCTTTCACAGATAATCATTAAAATCTGTAAAGCTACTTGGTAGTGGTTAATTTCATCAGTTTTATTGTACAATCTATGAACATAATTGCTAAATGAAAAGGAAGTGCTTCCAGTGTCACAGAACACAGGGTTTACTATTACTAGTTAGCTAGGCTAAGTGCAACTGAGACACCATCAACTATTAGACCTGACCTTTTTTATATGTAAGTCTGCATTAAACCCTAGAGTTGGAGCAACACAGGCATTTTCCCCCCACAGGAATTTTCTGCAAAACAACACAGAAGGTTTATTCTCATGAGCAATTTTATCTCTTCTTTTAACTCCTAATTTCTTTTTATCTGTTATTCCAGTGCCAGTACCTAAATCCCTCAGCATTACTGTTTAACAGGAGCAAGGTCAGCATACATTGTTTTTTTCTGATTTTAATGAGAAGGCTTCTAAAGTTTTGTCTTTCAATATGATTGCTCACTGGTTTTTGAAATATTCTCCTAATAAGGATAAAGAAATTCCAGATCCCTTTTAATCCAAGTTTGCTTAAAAGGCCTTTAATTTCTTTTGGTTAATTATGACACATATCAATGGTTTTTGTCATTGAAATAATCACGTATTTTTTCCCTCTCCTTTTAATTCTTTAACGTGGAAATTTATACCAATACAGTCACATTACAAAATTCTATTCCTTTAGGATATTTTCATTTGTATTTGTTTAAACTGTAACTGCTCTTTTTTAAAAAGAAAAACTTTCCAGTGCTGTCCATATCCAGTGTTGCTATTAGTCTCATTAAAAGAGTTGCTAAATTTTCTTTCTCCCTTCCTTTTTTTTTTTTTTTTTTTTTGTTGTTATTAGTGTACTGGGGATTGAACTCAGGGCCTTAACACTGAGTGAGAGCCCAGCCTCTTTTATTTATTTATTTTGAGACCAAGTCTAAGTCATTAAGTTGCCAACATGTATCTTAGCCTCCCAGGGTGCTGGGGATTATAGATGTGTTACAGCACCTGGCTTGTCTTTTCTGACACAGGTTACATAATCTAGGGGTAATTTACTCTGTAAAGGCATGATAAAACTTTCCTGAAAACTTTCTAAAGTCTTGGTGTCTTCTGGTAGAGAAAAGAGGGGGAAAGGAAGATTTCTGATTACTAATTCAATTTCTTTCGTGAGTAGAGGTTATATGGATCTTGAGTTGCTTTTGTGTTATATTTGTTTACAAAGACTTATCATTTCGCATTTTACCTGTCATTTATTGACCAAAGTTATTCACAGCATAGAGACTCACTGTCATGCAGCTTAGATCATAAAGACCCACACACGTTGGGTTTGAGCACTGAATATTATATTTTTTTGTTCCACCAATCTTGCTAGATGTCCAGTTATTTTATTAGTTTAAAAATTAATCCTTTATAAGAACAAGCATTTGAAATTGTTGGTCTTTCTATTTCATAATTTCTTTTCTTGTTTTCTTTCTTCACTTTTCTTTTTTTTTTTGTTCTGGTGATCGAACTTGGAACCTTGTCCTTTTGAGGCAGACGGCGGAACCACTGAGCTAAATCCCTGGTCCCTTCACTTTTCTTATACTGATTCTATTCTTTAATTTTCTGCAGTTAAATGCTTAATTTTTTGCATGTATTTTTCATACTCAAGTGTTCTTAAGGCTATAAATTTATTTTTACTCCTTTACCTCCTGCAAGTTTTAGTATATAGTACATTCATCATCTTTAAGTCCTAAATTTTATAATTTCTATTATAATAGAATTATATTAATTCTGGAAGTTTATAAATTATATTAATTCTAAAAAATTAATAGAAATTTGTAATTTCTATTATAAAATTTCCTGCTTGACCTTATTATTAATTATTATTTTTTTTTTTTTTGGTACTGGGGATCGAACTCAGGATCTTGCACTTGCGAGGCAGGCGGTGGCACCACTGATCTAAATTCCCGGCCCTTGACATTATTATTATGGAGGGTGTTTTAAAGTTTTTACAGATTTAAAAAAGCCTTTTAATTGTCAATTACTAACTTAATTCCATTATGGTCACAAATGACATCTACTAAAACAATTATGTATTTTTTCTCCTTTAATTCATTCACGTGGATAACTACATACACATACCGGATGACTTTTAATGCTTGGGAATTTATTAAAATTACCTTTATGATATAGTGCATGATAAACTTTTGTAAATGTTCTATGTATATAGATAATAAGAAAGTGTATTCACCATTGTGAAGATTTATATAACTGGTTAATTTTTGTTGTCAATATTTTTCTTCTTTTGTGGACCAGGAGTTTTAAAAATGAAAGTATCAGTGGTTCTGCCACCTGCTTTGCAAGCACAAGGTTCAGAGTTCGATCCCCGGTACCAAAAAAAAAAAAGTATTTTGCAAAATCCAACACTCATTTATGATAAAAATCCTATAAAAATTGGAATTAGGGGCTGGGAAAGTATCAGTGGTTCTGCCACCTGCTTTGCAAGCACAAGGTTCAGAGTTCGATCCCCGGTACCAAAAAAAAAAAAAATGAAAGTGTCAAACCAGGTGCAGCGGCACATGTCTGTAATTCCAACACTCTGGGAAGCTGAGGCAAGAGGATCAGAAGTTTGAGCCTAGTCTGGGTAACTTAGTGACTTAGTAAGACCCTGTCTCAACACCTGGGGATGTACCTCAGTGCAAACGCCTGGGCTCAATCCCCAGTACAATGCGCGCGTGCACACACACACACACACAAACACACACACACACATATATCAAAATCTCCTACCACAACTGTGGACATGTCAATATTTATTCATCAAAA